TGAGCAGTTGCCGAACACAATCACGAAACCGGACATCAAATTTTATTCGATAAAACTAAAATTTTTGCATGTAATCAATTCTTCTACCAACGAAAAATCCGAGAGTCTATAGAACTCTATAAGCAACCTAACAATCTTAATCGCGACCCAGGTCTATAGCTGTCACGAATATGGGAATCAGGCATCCAAGACGGTGTTTACGCCCCTCATTTAACTTCGCTCCCCGAAAATAATATATAAGTATGTACAGAGTAAAATGCGAACCAGTTTCAGTCAAGCTCTGAAGAAGCCAACAGGATGATTGACGAAACGTTAGCTAGTTCGACTCAACAAAAACCGTTGCAGGAGGAATTCAGATGTTTTATAAAAAGTATAACAGTCTTCTAATTTTTTTTCTGGAGGACACTAATGGACATCTAAAAACTAGATATTTTGTATTTAAAAAAAACAGTTCTCGATTTAACCAGTGTAGTGGCGACCTAATTAACCGAAATATTATTTGTTCATAGACAGTCAGTTGCACCCCACTGATTTCCCTTAAAAAATTTGACATTTGCATTCATTTATCAGCAGATTCGATTTCATAATTTTCTTTGTCCGTCGCACGATTTTCACTTAAAAATAAAAACTAATTTCTCTGCAAGCTGTCATATTAACGATATTGTTTTGACCATGCAGAGAAGAAATTTTTATTTTTTTAAGCGAAAACTGTACATCGGATTGAAAAAAATCAAGAAATTAATTTGATTAGAGATTGTAAGAATAATTTTTATTTATTTATTTATGTCTGCCAAAATAGACAAGTAAAATTCCGTACGGCCTCCACTGGTGTATTTTTTAAAAATCGTGGTGCACTAAATAATGCCTTTTGATACACAGTAAATGTGCGCCTGTATCTTAAAAGCTAAGACGTTTAGGACAAATGTTCATATGAAGTTTTCTTTTGAAAATGGACCCAAAAATCGCCCCCATGATTATTGACATTCAATACCCTGTACAAAAAAAGTAAAAAGTAAATAGTCATATGTTATATAACGTTGTATATGTTGTGTAACTTATAACGTTAATGTTATTTTTTTGCAAAAAAATGGTGCAACTTGGGTTGCATACTGTTGTTTTTGCTTTTTCGTGTAGTCCTTGGAGTAGCTATATGTCTTGAAGTGCAAATACGTTTTCCAGCACCACCATATTTTACTCCCTGCTTCGCTTTTGTCCTTGAAACGTTGCCAACAGAACTATTAGTCTCACTCACGACTAAATAAGAAAACAGAAAAAGGTTATGGTTTCTTTATAAAGTTTTAATGTCCGATGTTTACAGTACAGTAAAATTTTAAAAATATAGCAATCTGCGTTACTGGAGTGTTAGTTTTACAAAAGTGGTACTTTAACTAACGCTAACACTCAAGATATAACTATTTTGATCGTGATTTCGATTTTTGTTGTATGTATATTTGTTCTTAACCTTTTTAATGTTATTGTTATCCAATGGCCTAATGTTCCTAACCACTGGTGGGCGGCCGTCGCTTCTCCTAGCCGTAAAATGTAGGGGTGGGATGCAGAGACGTGCTCGCTCGTAGTGGCAGGGGTGGTTACCAATTTTCGTCCTTTCTTACGTAACGAACTTATCTCGGTAATCGACGGAAGGGTCGCGGCGGGCGGCGGTTTCTTGGCGGGGGCAACCGGCCCGCTGGTCGCGAAGCGTCGCGGCGCCCGCCAGGCGGCCTCGTCCCCGCTGGCGACGCCGGTCTCTCGTAAAAAGGGGATACATACAGAGGGAGACTATAAAGTAACAAACATCAATGCCGACGAATATGATAATAGTAATAATAAAAACTGGGCATCCTAATCGGGCGTAAAATATAAAAAAATTAAAAAAGCAGCGGGAAAAAAACAGCTTTGCATAATTTTTAAAAAAATTGATTTTATGTGTTTGATTTCGTTGATTCGTTGCCAATTTGAATTTACACGTGTAAAGCAATTTTGTATTAATGCAAAAATAAATACACGGGGAATTTTTATAGCAATAAAATGCCGCACCGAACAAAATAGATTGTTCAGATTGCTTCCACTTATACTTCAACAGATGTTGTTTCGGCCTAAATATCTATGTGATCAATGCAAGACGGCCGTCTCTAACGATCACCATGAAATTGCTTGGTAGTGAGAGAGACAGAATTAATTGTACTTGGCACTTATTATTTTAATTTGTACGCCCATACTTAGAGATGGATTCATGTATTGTCTGTGTAATGATAGATCGGGATGTTCCTTAATGATATGCGAATATTTAAGTAAGTGAATGTGCGTGTGCAAATTATGATAATTTGTTACTTAAACTATTGGCCGAAAACTCCGTCCCTGCAAATTAAACCAATACCAAAAAAATTAATAAATTAAATTTAAAAAAATAAATACCATATAAAATATGCCTTGCCTCACTTACAACATTTTTATTAAAAAATATTTTGCACTGCGCCCAATACCAATTCTATGGCATTAAATATACAATCGTAAGGAGGCAATCTTAAAACTTTATGACCAATTTCAGCAATATTTTTTTTGTAATATTTGACGATTTTGAACAACTCACATTTTAGTCCATTTTCTAGGTAATTAATCCGCTTACTGCACAGCCAATTGATAATTTCTTTTTTTCTTGTCGATGCGTTTTACGAAGTCTAGAATGATAGCATGCATGCAGCAGTTTTTCAAAAGTAAACCTGTTTTGTAACCAAAACTACAATAATTATCCGGAAATTGATTCCATCTGTCGAATGTAGGACACGGGGGCGTAATAGACAAGAGTACACTGGCAGGTAAATAGGTGGGTTTTGCCATTCTTAGTATACGAATTTTATGACCGACTATGCCATCGCAAATTGTAGCAACTATATATTCTTTTCTTTGATTGTAATTCCTATATTTAATACGTCTATACATCGTGGACGCTTTTTCGTGTTAGATTTTTTTTAAAATCTTATTTAGATTTATTTTAATTACCAGTTGGAAGCATTTTTAAGAGGTACACTGAAAACTTTATCTAGTGTAAAAAAGGCAAAATATGAAAAATAAACTGAATTAGAAAGGTACAACAGGGTTTAAAGGTTGGAAGAAAGTCCACACAAAGGGGGTATTAGATTTATGGTAAAATTGCATTTGGTCTATTTTACAAAAGTTTTTTTCAACGCTTTCCCCTAATTTAGAGTCACAAATAAAAGCTCCCTAACCCCCACCAAAGTTACACAACAACTCAATTCTTCCCAATCTCATAAAACCCCGAAACTTGCAAAAAACTGCCGCCGCCGGCGGTATTTTCGAGCGTCCCGCCAAAGAGGCGCCGGTCCGCGGCCGCCAATGGGGGTCGGACTCGTTCCCCCACCGCTTCGATTCATCTCCCACCCCCGCTCGCGACCAATGGGGTTGTTTTCTGCGAGGTTTTCGAGATCACGCTGGCATGCGATCAAGTTTGTTCCATTTCAGAGTCGGTGCTCTTTGGGGTAGGGTTGAAAGCTCTCTCTCGGGGGGGTAAAACTCGCTCTCTCGCAACACGGGGCTCCCATGCAAGACCAAGGGTGGTTTTTGAGTCGGATAGTTTCGTTCGTGGTCGTCTGCGCGATGGAAGGGTAAGTGATGTATGTCGTCCGAGTCCCTTTCTTGTCCTTGTGTTTTTTATACATATTTTTTTTTATGTAAAATATTTAAGTATAAGAAAAGAAAATAAAAAAAAATGCCATTTACACATTTTAAACTATTGTAAATTATCAACGGCGGGCGTCAAATTCTTAACTTCATCATTTATTATTCACGTAATTATAACTATAAATAATATGTAGGTGCATAAATTCAATTCAACGATAGTTGTTTACTGGCAAATTTTGATCCATTTTCTCGTATTAATCATGTCGGATGGAAATACATGTATACAATTTTGCGGCGTTATTCTTGCGGTTTTAAAGTTTTCCTGTTTCCGTAGTCCGCCAACAAAGTTTGATATGTTATAATTTTTCTTGCTTGTGTTTCCTTAGAAAAGCACAACACAAAGTCCTCGAATTTTATACTCACGATTTAACGTTTAAAATACAAGAAACATGCAAATCGAAATTTATTGTTTTTTTTTTAATATGTTGGTGGCAAAATTTTGAGAAACACTTGTCGATCGCGAATTTTGATTTTTTTATTTGATTCGTTTTAAATCACTTTAATTAATTCATTTATTTTCGAGACTACTTTCCAAATAGAAAAATTTTTCCCATTCAAGATTTAAGAAGTACGGATTTGCTCAATCCTTGTGTAAACACTGGCTCAATACATTTCAAAGCGGCCTGGAACAGAAATTATAAAAACGGGCGAACCATTCCGTAGTGTTCTAGAACATGAAAAAAGGAAAGTCTTTTAACAATGTAGATTTGGCACAAAATACAGTATTTAATGCTTAACAAAAATTAACTAGCTTGAAATCTGATGGAAAACTAGAATTTTACAACAGAATCGTTTGGCCCACGTCCACGTCTGACGGTCCTCGTTTGTTTATATTGTCAGCTTTATTTTAAGTTTTACTATTTTTCGCATTATCGAAATATCGGCCGAGTAATCTCAAACCATTTCGCAGTGGCTTCCGCGGTTTCTTCCAGTGGCGGCGAGTAAAATGACGCCGATTAATTAACAATTATTAATAAAACGGTCTCGTTCTATGAGGTTAGACGTGGACCAAATAACACAATCATGCCCTTAGGCTATATTGTTTTAGAACTCCAGTGACGAATATTCATTTTTATATAATAAAAAAAATGTAAACCGGTCCCCAGGCAGTCTTTAATAATGCTTTCAGGGGACCGTATAACGCGCGTTTGGGCAACAGCGCGGGCCGTAAATGCCCAATAAAATGTCTAAAATCGGCGCCCGAAATTAAATTCCCGCACGCTAAACTACAGAGCGCGCGTGCCAGGGGCAAATTCAGACCGACCCGCATTAGCATATTTTATCGTTTGTCGCCGTCGCGGGGGTCAATCGGCACGATTATTTCTTGGAACGAGCAAGCGGTGCATCATTTCATCGCGCTGATTAGTTGGATTTCGGACAGATCGCGTTTTTATGTTCTGGGAGACTGAGCAATTGACCTAAATTTCTCAAAAGAAGAAGACGCTGGTCACGGAAACGCAGTTAAGTAATAATTCCCAGTACCGGGCGTGAATTTGCTGATGTAACAATCGACAAATGTCTCTTTGGGTCTTTTGGGCTTCAGCATCGTCGCAACACGTGATAGTCACAGCCGCCGTCGTCACGACATATCGATTGAAATTGGGGCGTCGTGGCGTCGCCGTCGAGATGACGGTCCTGACGCCGGCCGGTCGCGTCGCTTAGCGACGGCGGCGTCCATCGCACGGCTTGTGTCGGCGGTGGTTAACGCGAGAGAAAAACCGGGTCGCCTGACGTACGTCGCTCGCAAATTGGTTAAAATAATTGGGAGATGATCGCAGCCGGCGTGTGTGTCGCAGTGGAAACGCAGGGGGATGGAATAAATGTTGGCGGGGCCTGCGAATTTGTGAATTCCCGGGACTAATACAAATCTTTGCATAATAACAAGGAAAAGCACTACGCGGTAGGATTATTACTACGAAATATTAAATGTTATGAAGGGTTAGAGTTATTAAAAAAAAGGTTTGTCGTTTTCGATAGTACCATAGAATATAAAGTGGCTAGTTTCGGTTGACGGCAATCAAAGAATAGATTTCTTGCCAACACAGCCATCTTTGAAAAATAATACAGGATTTTCGAAAAATGTTATAGTGTTATCTAGAAAAAATGTATATTAATATCTAAACAAACATAAAGTGCACCACAACAAATGTTTTTTGTCCTAATTAATTAGCCTCTTAATACACCAAACAATATTGCCAAATTTCAATAGGATCGAGTAAATATTAATAGATATTAATAAAAAATATTTTCAATTGAACATCTTGCACTTATTTATAAAATGCAGTTTCTAAAATATTTATTTTTTATTGTGCAAATCTTTTTTTCATATTTTTAATATCTAAAATATCTCCGTTTATTTTTTTAACACTATGTAGATTTACAGAAAGCAAAAGTGTAGCTTCAAATCCCTTGGCCAAATTTGGTTGGACATTTAATTGACGTTTGGTTATGACTGCACAGTACAGTAACTAGTATCGCATAATTTAGATTGGAATTATTTGGAATATTGAGGGAATATACGAAACAAAAATGGTGTTTTTCTGTACAAGGCTGTATATTTTTTCTACTCTTACAGAATCGAAATCGAACTCTATCCAGCATGTCCCTATCACTGCGTGTACACATCGTCGACGGCAATGTCACAAAGACGATCGTCTTCAACCCATCCACTACTGTCCACGACGCGTGCAAAATTATCCGCGAGAAATGCTCCGAAGCCGCCGGACAACGTATGTCATTTCTTTTTTTTAACATTTTTATTATTTATTTATTTCGTTGACACAGCCAAAGATTATGGACTATTTCTCACCGACGAAGACAATAAGACGGGGGTATGGTTAGAACCTGCCCGTAACTTGGAGTACTACCTGTTGAGAAACGGCGACGCCGTCGAGTACAGAAAGAAGTTGAGGACGCTGAGGGTCAAAATGCTCGATGGTATGCTAATTTTATCGATATCGCCTTCGTTTCCGTTACACGGCTAAATTTACTCTTTTTGATCCTGCTTTTCTGCACTATCTCAAAAACCGAGCATGAATGGGAATTCCCTCCATTTGCTCGTTGCAGGTACCGTCAAAACTATGCTTGTCGACGACTCTCACATCGTCCAGAACATGATGGTGGTAATATGCGCGAAATTGGGCATAACCAATCACGACGAGTACTCGTTGGTGCTCGAGGACGTTGAGAATCAGGAGAACATCGAGAACCGGAACTACGGCACCCTGACTTTGAAACGAAAGAAGGAGGAGCGCGAGCGCGATGCAAAGATGGAGCAACTACGGAAGAAGCTCCACACGGACGACGAAGTTAACTGGCTGGACCCGTCGAAGACGCTGCGCGAGCAAGGGGTCGACGAGAACGAGACGGTACTGCTGAGGAGAAAGTTTTTCTTCTCCGACCAGAACATCGACTCGAGGGACCCCGTCCAGTTGAATTTGCTCTACGTCCAAGCGAGAGACGCCATCTTGAACGGCACTCATCCGATCACCCAAGACAAGGCGTGCGAATTTGCCGGCATACAGTGCCAGATCCAGTTCGGCGACTACGTGGAAAGCAAACACAAACCCGGATTCCTGGAGTGAGTATTTAAACATAAAGGGACAGAAAAAATGCGAATTGAACTACTACTCGCGCGGATATCTATGAGATCGAACGCCATTCTGAAAGGTCCTCTTTGAGTAGTTCAAATGACTCAGTTGACTTCACACACTCCGTTTAAATTTTCAGTAAACGAAGGTGGAGCTAACGGCAAAGAAACTGAAAACATGTATTCTGTAATTGGATTAGAAAATTGACTGGTGAAAATTTAAAAAATCTATTTGGAGGCAAATTGCAAGTTTCTTATCTGTGAAAGCGAAGTTATAAAAAAAAATAAGAATTGGAAATAAAAGGCTGTATTATTAATATAAGGTAATTTTTATTAGTTATTAAAATGCGTAGTGGGCGTAGTAGTTCAAATCCCCCAAAGAGCAGACCTCAGAGTCAACTGTATTTTTCCAGCTTGAAAGAATTCTTGCCGCAGTCCTACACCAAAATCAAAGGTGTCGAGAAAAAGGTGTTCAATGAGCACAAAAAATGCACAGGCCTGAGTGAGCTCGAGGCCAAAGTTAAGTACACGAAGACGGCGCGGTCGCTGCCGACCTACGGCGTCACGTTTTTCCTCGTCAAAGAAAAGATGAAGGGCAAAAATAAGCTGGTACCGCGACTGCTGGGCGTCACCAAGGACTCTGTTCTCAGGCTGGACGAGAAAACGAAAGAAACATTGCAGACGTGGCCTCTAACTACCGTCAGGAGGTGGGGCGCGAGTCCGAACACTTTTACGCTCGACTTCGGCGACTATTCGGATCAGTACTACTCAGTACAGACGACAGAGGCGGAGCAGATTCAGCAGATCATTGCCGGCTACATAGACATTATTTTGAAGAAGAAACAAGCCAAGGACCATTTCGGCATTGACGGGGACGAAGGTTCGACCATGTTCGAGGAGAGCGTCGCACCTCACAAGTGAGTCCCTCACTACCCGTCACGCCCATTCGCGATAACTACGCCCTCACGGTGTATAACCTTTTCAGGGCGACAATCCTGCAACACGAGACCAGCAAGGTTGGCAAGGTCAACACCGAGTCCCTGGCCAAGCCCGCGGTTATGAGGGCTGCCGACGGTGAGTTATCGCGTCCCTTTTCTTGCTCCCTCTTGTATTAGTAGTTTTTCGTGTTTCGTTTTCCATTTTTTCCTTTGTTTTTTTTTTCCGATTGATTAGGCGAAAAAACGTTCGGTATGGGCGTTATGAGCGGCCCGCAACAAACCACCGTCAGTGGATCCGTGGACGTGGTGCACGCCCCGCCCTCGGTAAGACAGTTTGCATCGCGTTGCCATCTGTTGTCGCGCGTCATTACTAACTTTAGATTATATATACTCAGAAAGATGAGTAACGTACCACAACACTACGTATCTAATTTGTTTTGAAGACCGCATTATCCACTGGTTGTCCGTGATGTTGTTCCCAATACCACTTGGGTGTACCTAAATAAATATAATAAACAATTAATATTGTTTTCGTCCCTGAATGGTATTTCCACTTTACTCGTTACTCGTATGTGGTCTCTGTGTGTATGTTATAGACAACAACCAACAACAGCAATGAATTTTCATAATTGTTACTTATCTATAGGAATATGTAATCTAAGCTATTAACCACCTGTTTATGGGTTCACTCCGAACTACTGACCGCCCCGGTAGGTCAAACGACCCTAGCGGTAGGTTTGAAGCTGATATTTTTTGTCTCAAATTTGTTTCTAACCCTAGGAGATGGGGCCTGTACACAATTACATGGTAGCGCAATAGTGTGACAAAGTACAATACCGCTCTTATTTAGCACAATTTGGAAAAATCGTTTTAACGGGTGTTGCATAAAATCGACAGACATGAAAATTTTTAAAAAAACTTCAATTATACGTGGTGTTTCGTGATACCATGAATATGAAAATATGTTGTTTAAGTGATATATATTTTGTGAAATTATGTATATATAACACTGTATATTTTTTTAAACTTTAATGCTACGTTGCCAACTTATTGATAAGAGTTCAGCGAAGCGCCTAAATAATTATTTCAAAGATGATGTTTTCTACAGTCTTACCAACTTGAAGTTTAAATTGTGTGCGCATGTTATCGTCATATCATCTGCTGCCGCTCTGCCACTTTTGTTGCGTTTCCCTATACTTATCGATTCATGTTTTTCCGTGATATTATTGCTCATTGGGCCTTGAATTTAAAATAAAAGTGGTACCTGTAAGTTTTTAATTTTATTTGGTGAACCAAACATGAAAAAGTGATTAATTATTTATTTTTGATAAATATGCTCTTAAAGAACGATTTACTCGAAATAAATTAGAAATTTTATATAAATTTTTAAAATGCTACTAAGCAATTTTTCAAAGAAACTTCCACAGGCTACTGTAATTCTTTTGGAATCCAGAAGTTTTATTAAAAAAAATGGTACTATGAAATTGGTTGTAAAATAAACCTACTCGAATCCCTTCACAATACACTTCTCGTGAAATCATAACTCCAATTTCAATTCATTGCACCACTCAATTAGACGGTAAATTTGATGCAACTGTGTCGTGGTTATCACTTGTTTTCAGCGATAAAACCAAAATTATTCTTGGTACTAATTTGACGACCGTATTCGGTAACAGTAAAATGCAAATCATGCATGCAAAATATAATCGTTAGATTACTTTCCGATTATATTTTTCAGTATATACAATCGGCGCATTTCGTCTCTACATATTTTAAAAAATACTTAGCTCGAACAACCATCAAGCCCTTTCATTTCTGTGACAGCTTTTTTCCAGCGCGAACTTGTAAACAACTACTGAATTAATTTTCTAACATTTTGAAGCATCCAAAAACTGCTCTGCTATTGTCTGACCAGTCCCAATATCGTTCAATTGACCAGTTCTTAATTGATTGGTCAAATTCGATTAAAATGTTTTAAATAACAATTATAGAGTGTTATCTATCATTATTTAATAATAATATGTATTTCATAATAAATTATTCGGCATTTGTGATGTCCAATTTACCTATAACCCCCATGAAGGAATACGATGCTTAGATTCTGGGAATTCCAATAAAAATGTCCACTCCACTTAGTTTTCAGAACTGTGCCATGGCGATGTAATACAATATAAATAAATATAAATTTCATTGCATTAAAAAAAAAATTGACCGGTCAATTCCACAACCCCAAGTTAATAATAAATTCGTCGTCTGTTCATGCCTTAGGGTAATTGCATTTACCCATTTTTCAATTTTTTCATACAAAATCGTTAGGAACGGAATAAGTTCTTCATATGGAAACGTTGCTATTTTAACCACTAATGACTAACCACACTAATGAAAGAGTGATTAATATGAATATAAATTACCGCTGAATTAACGGGTACGTCACTGTTATGTGTGAATCGACTTCATCCTTATTTATTCGTTCTTTATCGGCTGATGCCCAAATACATACTTATTATTTTATAATGACAAACATGCTTTTCAGCGAATTAAAGCGATTATTAAATTTATTTTAATATTTATTATTATTTAAATTAAAAATGTAAATGTACTACTTTTACTTTATATTCAAGACTAGAGCTAAATGTCAATAGTTTAAGTAAGTAATAAGTTTAAGGACTTTTGTAAATGATAATAAAACAGAATATTACGGAAAAAGTTGAATCGGTAGGTATAGGAAAAGCTTAACATATAGAGAAGCAATAGCGAAAACGATAAATGCGTTAGCGTTAGATACATAGTATTTCATTTAAAAAATAAGAAAAATTACTTTAAAATTCATGGAGTTGACAAGACTTTGGACAACCCCCTGTATGAAATTGTTACTTACGTGTTTTACTTATTAAGTGTCCAAATTGGTGGTTATAGTAGATAATAGGAAATCATGTTTTTTTAATATTTTCAATTTTTTCTTAATAAGTTGGCAAAATCTCATTAAAGCATTTTTTGGAGGATTGGTAATATGCAACGGGTTCTATTTCAAAAATTATATGAGTTTTTGTGTGATTCTTCGTTAATGTACTACTTCACTCCTTCCTTCTTCACATTTTGTAAGCAGAAACTTCAATATAGAAATAGGTCCATTTTTTTTATTAAACAGCTGTCTCAGTTCAAATAAGTCGTCATTTTTTTCTCGCTTAGGAAAAGTATAAAGTTTAGAGCAAAGTATTGGAATGCAGAAAAAAAGAAGATTCTTAGCAGAAAAAAGCAATGCAACACAAGTAAAAAGTCTATCAATTAAAAAAAACGGTTGAAATAGTTCACCTGGCCTGATCTATTTTATTAAACCAACGACCCGTTTGGTTTCATGTCCGCTCTGGTAGTTGAAACGACGCCCTTTTTTCGCCTGCGCAATTTCAGCAACGGCGAATTATTTTTAAATATTTGCCCACAATGAACTAAATAGGTTTTAGTTTCACCTTGACTATAAAAACGAGTCGCCCAACCTACGACAATTAATAAACGTCAGAACCATTTTACTAACTAATCATCTATTTGTTTCATGCCTTGACGCGGAGTAGAAGATACAGTAGGTACATAAATATTCCCGACTAAGATTTAGCCAAAAATAGCCCCCCAAATAATGCAAAATTCTAGCGTCTGGGCCGAGAAACTCCGAAAACCACCTTGTTTAACCCTTGCAGAGCGGCATGCAACAAACAAAAATCACGAACGTGACGAGCGAACCCCAGAGGGCGCTGATTTCCACAATCCAGGCCACCCACACCAAGATCAGGGAAGCGGAGATCGAGCTCGAGAGTAAGGCCCACATCCCTGAGCTCGGCACCGATCCTGCGGCGAAAAAATGGAAACAGGTGACTTTGGATACTAGCAAGCAGAACGTCGGCTCGCAGATCGCCGCAATGAACGCCGCCACCGCTCAGGTACCGCCACCCACTTCTTCGTTATTCTGACATTGGCTCCCTTCATTTTTCCTTCTGGCCTTTGATCCTATTTATCTTTCGCCTAGGTGGTGACATTGACGTCTGCGTCTTACGACGAAGTGGATCACCACGCAGTGGCCGGTGCGATCACCACAATCGGCAGCAACCTTCCGGAGATGACCAAAGACGTAAAAATGATTGCCGCCTTGATGGACGACGGCAACATGGGCGAGAAACTATTGGACGCGACCAGGAAGCTGTGCAGCGCGTTCAGTGACCTGCTCAAAGCGGCGGAACCCGAGTCCAAAGAACCCAGACAGAGTCTGCTGAACGCAGCGTCGCGCGTAGGCGAAGCCAGCACCCAAGTACTTGCTACGATAGGTGAGGACACAGCAGAAAACAAGGAGCTGCAGGACATGCTGCTGTCATTGGCCAAGGCGGTGGCCAACACAACTGCTGCGTTGGTTCTCAAAGCAAAGAACATCGCGGCCACGTGCGAAGATCAGCAGATGCAGAACAGGTAAGGGAGTAATTTAAAAAATCGATTTTCCTAATGTGGTGCCGATAGTAAATAGACCTAATGCAAACATATTGAGATCTGTGCGGTAATTCAAATGCGATTTCTACCGCTCATTTCAGGGTGATTGGGGCCGCGACACAATGCGCGCTCGCCACCTCGCAGTTGGTCGCGTGTGCCAAGGTAGTCGCGCCCACCATCCAATCGCCGGCGTGCCAGGAGCAGCTGACCGGTGCGGTGAGAGAGGTGGCCAAGGCGGTGGAGAAATTGGCGGCTGTATGCAACGAGGCCAGTCGCGACGATGACCTCAATGCACAACTCAAGGAAGCTGCGGCCGCGGTCACCAAGTCCCTCAACGACCTCCTCGACCACATCAAATTGGCGGCAAGTCGCGAACGAGCTAAGGAGTCGGTCCAGGAGCACAGCGTTGAGGAAATTTATACCGCGACGGAGAAGATATCCGCGGCCACCGGGGATCCTAATGAAATGGTAAGGATCTACAGGGAGAAAATCGGTTCTACTAACCTGGAAAAGTCGGATATTTTGCAAATATTAGGTTTGGTTAGTTGACCCGATATATGGGCTTTCCGAATGCCTGCAAAATTGAAGGAAACCTCTCAAAATGGGGTTAAAAGCGTTGTGCTAATTTGACGTGATGCGCGCAGGTGAGACAGGCGAGACGCCTGGGCCAAGCGACTGCACAGCTCATCCAGAGCATCAAGGGCGAGGCGGAGCGGTTGCCCGACTCAGAGATCCAAAGGCGTCTCCTGGCGGCAGCCAAAACGTTAGCCGATGCTACCGCCAAGATGGTCGAGGCGGCCAGACAGTGCGCGAGCCGGCCCCACGATGTCGACTGCCAGGATCAGCTGCGCCGTACCGCCGAAGATCTGCGAGACGTAACCACCGTGGCTGCGACCACGCCCGCTCTGAGAGCCAAACTCGTCGATAGGGTACAGGTGTGCGCGAAAAAAGCTATCTCGTCCGCTACGCAGTGCATAACGGCAGCCCAGGCGAGCCACTCCTACAATCAGAATGCGGCTACGCGCGAGGCGTTGCAACAGGACGCACGGGACGTCGCCGAGCAGGTCCCGCCCCTCGTCGAAGCTATTCGAGCGAACTGCGCAGAGCCCGAAGACGCAAACGCGCAAAGCGAGCTGATGTATGTCGCGGAAGTGTTTCTGCACGTAAGGGCGTTCCCGCCTGTGGTCGGGGTCATCGTACCTCACATTGTCGTATTTGTAGCCCGCGACACATTTCGTGCAGTCATCGAGGGCGGTGTTGCCGACGCTGACAGAGCAGACGATCACCGAGCAGCTGTCTGTCACAAGTCAGAAACTGAACACAGATTTGAATGAGCTAAGGGGCGCGATAGGTCGGGCGAAACCGGCGTGTCAAGGTAAAGGCGGCGGAAAATATGAGTTTTTCCTTTTGGGGAAAATAAGAAAATAAACTTGAAACAATTGCATAATTTTTGAATGCAGGATTGGGCATTAACGCGGCCGCGCAGCTAATCGAGGATCTACAGGAAGAGCTAAGGGAGTTCGAACGCGCGGTCGACTCGCACAGGCTTAAACCACTACCGGGTGATACAACCGAGAAGGGGGCTCATCAGCTCATCGCCAGTAGCAAGATGGTCAACCAAGGGGTAAGTTTTTCCCAAGAAAACCCCACCCGAGACCAAACAATGCTGTAATTTTGTTTTCCCCATTTTTCTCCATTGTTGCTTTGCCCGCTTTGTTTCCCATTTTTTATAAAATTTTCTTATCATTATTATTACTTTGTGTAACATAACTGGGTCCGCTTCAAACGTTCTTACTTACCTACAGGTAGCGCAGCTATTGAGTGCGACCGCCCAGGGTAATGAAATGTACAGCTCGCAGGCGGCCCGCGACACCGCCCACAGCCTGAGGAACTTCACGGGGGCGGTCAGGTGTATTGCCGCGACCAGCGACAACCCGGAACTGCAGCGACGTCTAATTCACTCAGGTAGATTGTCCTAACCAGGCCCATCGTCAAAGTTGATGACCCCTCCGCCCTTTCTAGGCCAAGACGTACTGACTCATTCCGTCAGGCTGTTGGACGAGTCGCAGAGGAGTCTGCATACCGTCGACACTACCCCTGGTCTCCATAAAGCCGCTAAAGACGTCACCGCGGCCCTGCAACAGACTGCCGGTTACTTGCCTGGTCAGAAGGACGTCGACACCGCCATCACTGACATCATTGAGTGGACGTCAAGCGTAGCTTCAGGTCAGTTCCCACGCACCGACAAAACCTACGGGGAACTGCAACAGGAGTTGACGACGGCGGCGGCAAACTTGAACGAGGCCAGCTCCGGTGTGGTTCATTCGGTTCATAGTCCTGTGCAGTTGGCATCGTCTTCTAAGGACTTCTCGTCCGCTTTCCGCGAACTACTCGACGTTTCAATGGAGATGGCAGGTCAGACAGGCGACGCCAACGCCCGCGGGGAGATGGTCAGGTCCTTGAAGGGTGTATCCACGTCATCGAGCGCCTTACTGACCACCGCCAAGTCCTTGTCTGCCGATCCGAACCTGCCCAACGGCAAAAATCAGCTCGCGGCCGCCGCCAGAGCCGTTACCGAGAGCATCAATCACCTGGTGAATGTCTGCACGTCCGCCGCCCCGGGGCAGACAGAGTGCGACAATGCGGTGAGGAAAATCCAGGCGATGAAGTACTTGCTGGACAACCCCAGTGAGCCCGTGAATGACTGTTCATACTTCGAATCGCTGGACAGCGTAATCGAGAAGAGTAAGGTGAGATATTTAAACTACTCTACTCTGCGATTAATTTATTTATTCTAACTATGCCATTCATTTAAATTCAGAAATTTTACATAATGAATCACAAAGCAAAAAACTAAATTTGTTGAAATTTGATTACTTAATCACCAATTGGGTTTAAATGGGTCTCATTTGTTAAATGTAAATTTATAACTCTAAAACAGTAATTCAGAATCTATTACTACCTTTTTATATACAGACTCTTGGAATGTTGGAGAGAACAAGAAATGTACGCTGTTGCCACGAGATTAAATAAAAACCTGTTGGTCCCCCCTCTCACCACCGTGTGGCGGGGAAAGGAAAAGCGGAAGGCGTCTTAGCGTTTGATTGAAGTGAAAGTCATTTCTTTGCCAGAAATCACTCGTTTTTTTTTTTAATTGTAGTATATTTGGCCCGAGAAATTATTGGCAGATTTGCATTTTTGTTTGAAAATAGGCCAATTCTTGCAAACAGCATAATTTTATGTCCCTTATATAACCAAAGGGAACGCCGAGAGTTGGAAATTAATATATATATAAATATATAATATAAACTTTCCGTACAATGGCATTCAAATTATCCAGGAACTTGAGATAAAACTAAGAACAGTTTAGAATATTTTCATGAGAAATGGGTACACAAGTGTTATAAATTACAGATCATGCAGCAGTTTTTACCAGCAAATAATGAGAAACGCGTGGTATTCTGTGAAGAAATGAGCTAATATTTTATTCAACGATGAATCTTCATTTTCGTTACATGGTCGTCAAAATCCGGGTATTCACAAGAGAACTAACACTTTAAGGACTTAGTGTCCGGAAAAGGTCAGCATATGGGCTAGTATTTTAAGAAACCATACTGTTCCCTGTTCATAAAAATCTGGTACCAACAAGATGGTTGCCCTACACATGGTGCTAGGAGGGTTTAGGATTTTCTGAATCCGACGTTTCCTAATCACATAATAAGTGGGCAGGCAACAATCAAATGGCCACCTAGATTCCCAAATTTAGCACCAAATGATTGTTTTCTATACCAGAATAATATTTTTCGTAACCTGTATATAGATGTCGAATATTGTCATATTTATTATTTGATAACGGCACGGTGTTGCCGAAACAGCTGTCATAAACCAATAAATTTGTTTTTCAATTGTGATTAATTTCCGTTTTTTTTTTCAGTGGTTACACCAATTTGTTTGTTTCCTTTACTTCCTTTACAGGAGTCTTTTTTTATTTTTATTTCTCCTTTGGCATTTCTTAAATTGTCTTTTGCTGTGTTACTTATTTTTCTGCCTAGAGGATTTAATTTTTACAATTATTCCGTTTTTATGGCTCAATTAGTTGGCTAGAAGCTCTGTGATTTTTCAGTTGCGTACTTTTATATTTATATATTCCATTTTGTCCTGCGGAGTCATTTCGTATTTTATTTTTTCTTAACCTTACATAACTAGGTTCTGGGCGAAGCTCTGACCGGCATGACCAACAGCGCGCGCAACTCCGAACATGAAAAGTTCACCGAGCACGTAAAGAGTTTCAGCAGTGCTATCTGCTCCCTGGTAGAGACATCGGCACAAACCGGCTACCTGGTAAGTGATCGAACTTCTGCCTCGGACCGACATCCAAAGATCATCTCGTAGGTGGGCGTGTCCGACAGCACCAGCATAGCGGGTCGACCCGGTCTCGTTGACCAAGCGCAATTCGCTCGCGCCTCTCAGGCCATCCGGGGCGGTTGCGAGGCGCTCTCGTCCCCTACCAGTCCTCAGAAACGTGTTCTGGAAGCTGCTACCCTTATCGCGAAACACACGAGCGCCCTCTGCAACTCGTGCCGCGTGGCCAGCTCGAAAACGACCAATCCCGTCGCGAAAAGACAGTTCGTGCAGAGCGCAAAGGCTGTCGCCAACTCGACTGCCGCTCTAGTCAAGGAGATCAAGGCCCTAGACGCCGACTACTCGGAAGGGAACAGAAGACGATGCGCAGAGGCCACCAGGCCGTTGCTGGGTGAGTGGATTTTTTGTTTCCTTTATTTTCCGTCCAGTCCGTCGCATTTTTTGCCTTGTATGGTGTGTCCCAATTTTGACAGTTCTCCCTCATTAATAAAATTGACGTACTGCATCTTTCGTGAAACAACGCTGCTTCTTTATGGAATAAATTATTTAATTATTTTTGTTGGTAGGCCATAGAAAATGCAGACTTTTTTACATAAATCACATAATTTATTACAAAAAGTTAATTACGTCTTGTGGGGCTTGTGGTGCTCTCTTCAATGCAAGGTTTTGGGACATGCCTTCACTAACACAATAATAATTACTTGGTTGGCTCTATATGATTGTTGTGGAATTGACCCGTCAAACATTTTTATGTCACTTGACTGAAATAATTTTAAAAATGCAATGAAATTTATATTTATTTAAATTGTGCGTTACGTCGCCATCGCGTGTTCCGAGAACTAAATGGAGTAGATATTTTTATGCTTATTATTATTAAATATTGATACGATAGCACTCTACAATTGTTATTTAAGACTTTTTGATCGAATTTGACTAGTCAATTAAGAAGTGGTAGGAACAGGAGCCAGAAATTAAATGAATAATTACGAAATGAACGTCTTTTTTCCACTTACTCATGATGAAATGGAACAACTAATAGGGCATGCCTGCGGGGAAGAAAAAACAAGTCGCATACACTCGCCTGCCGGATGAACGTGTATAATAAAGCTCACAGGATCTGGTTTGAAAGTAACAACACAGGAAGCCAAAAATTATGATAGATGGCGTCTCAATGTCGCACAAGTTATACGCCGACTATATCTAATAAAAGACAAAATGGTCACCACACGTTTTTAACAACGTTGGATTTTGATGGTGATGACTCATAAAAAAAATTAAGATATGTGTTGTGCATTAGAAATTCCTAACAAAACTAAATTATTAAAGAAAAATAGGATGTCGCATTAGAAAAAAAAACAAGTGTTTGTATATCAACATTTGTGAGTTTTAGAAAAAACTCATTACGCCACTGGATCTTACGTAAAAAAAAATTCTATCAATACCAGTTTTCATCTTTTCAATGTTAAGGCAGGCATAACCGAACTACAAAAGGAGTTTACGAGTGCATTTTTTTTACATCACACTGTATGTAAACCTATAAGGTAAAAAGTAGCCTAGCTTTATTAATTTTTTATATTATGAATGTGTTTTTTTTTTATTTGTTTTCTCTGGAGCATTATATTATTTTCGTAGACGCGGTGGAGGATCTGTGTGTGTACGCTAGCTCGAGCGAATTCGTCACGATTCCGGCCAAAATATCGGCACAGGCGCGCGATTCCCAACGGCCAATACTCGAATCTGGTCGACGGTTAATAGACAGTTCGTCGTCGGTGATCGGGACGGCGAAGAATCTGATCGTGATGCCGAGGGACCCATCGACTTGGCAACAGTTCGCCAGCTGCTCCAAGAACGTTTCGGACACCATGAAACAGCTGGTTGTCAATATTCGGTAAACATAACAAATTTTTAGTTGACACAAAAAAGACAGAAGTGCAAGTTTATAGTGAATATTAGTCTAAACAAAGTTCATTACATATTTTGTCTCTGCACAACTCAAAAACGAGGTGTATAAGTCAACGGGAGTTTTGGTTAGCAAGAACATGAAAAAAGATTTAAATTTGCGAACTTTTCTTCCCAAGGGACAAAGCACCGGGAGGAAACGAGTGCGAGAACGCCGCTCAAATCCTAACCAACCACTTGCGTACGCTGGACGCCGCCTACATGGACGCGGTCTCCCAATCGCTCCAACCGCGCAAGACCGCTACGTTGCCGGCTTTCAGTCAGCAGGTTCAGCGATCGGCCGCAGGGCTGACCGACACGATCGAACCGCTGCGACACGCGGCCAAGTTCGAAGCGGAAAACATCGGCCACACGGTCAATCAGATGGTGCAGTACTTCGAGCCGCTGGTCCAGGGTGCGATCGGAGCCGCCTCCAACATGACCAACTCCAAGCAGCAGGAACAGTTGCTGAACCAGGCCAAGTCGGTCACCGAATCCGCCTTGCAGTTTATCTACGCGACGAAGGACTGCGGCGGTAACCCCAAGGTGAGTGGACGGTCGAAAATTTTGCCGGGTCATTTGATTTTCTTTAGAGTTTGGCAGCAACATATATCGTATGTTCTTTTTTGTCATGAATCCACACTGTCGATCAACACAGAGGGTTGTTTTACATCGCAGGCGTCATCTCGCGAAAATTTTTATTTTATAAAATTTATATAAGCTCTGTGAACCAGCCGCGCTTGTCCTTCTTTTCTGTAACGTGAACTACCTTTTCCTTGTTAGGCGGTCAACATCCACCCGGACATCGACGACTGCGCGGACATCACTAAAGTGGCGCTCCAAGACCTGGTGCAGTCGCTCGAGATCATCTCGACACAGAGCGGTATCGTGTCCGGTGTGGTAGAGAACCTGACCCGCGCGATGACCCGCCTCTCCGACCATCGCGCGTCACTCATCATGTCCGACAGCGACGGCTATGTCGACTATCAGACGCGTATGGTGGAGTGCGCGAAAGATATCGCGAAGATCTCGGGCGAGATGGCAACAAAGGCGGCGACCGACACTCAGCAGCTCGCACCCCTTTCTGCGCAGCTTTCGCACAGCTACGCGCAGCTCGCTAGCGACAGTATAGGGGCGGCGGCCGCCGCCACCAATGGCGAAGTCGGCACCCGGCTCAAAGAAGTCGTGCAACAGTTGGGCGGAGCTTGCGTAGAGCTGGTCCAGGTGGGAGGACAGTGTCTCGTCGCCAAGGACGACATCATCCTAAGAGAGGTGGGCGAGTGTTCGCGAAACGTCGCTGAGAAAGTGTCCAGGGTGTTGGCGACGTTGCAATCGGGTTCGAGAGGTGAGTGCGGAGGACTAAAACAGAAAGTTTGTATTGACGGACGGATGTGGGCGTGGTCAGGTACTCAGGCATGCATCAATGCCGCGTCAACAGTGTCAGGTATTATCGGTGACCTGGAGACGACCATCATGTTCGCCACTGCCGGCAACCTGAACCCAGAGAACGAGAATGAATCTTTCGCCGATCACAGAGAGAACATCCTGAAAACGGCCAAGGCGCTCGTCGAAGATACGAAGACTTTGGTCGCAGGAGCCGCGTCGTCGCAGGAGCAGCTTGCGGTTGCTGCACAGAATTCGGTTGCGACAATCGGTGAGCGAGTTTTTCTTTTCTGATTCTTCGTAGGCATAGGCTAAGGAAGCACACTCAAAAGTTTTAACATATTTCGTTGCGAAAGAGGTGCACACCCGTTTTTTATGGCTACTCTTATTCGACTTGTTTTATTAACCGATCGTCGGTAATACCCTACGTAGAAAATATTGCTAGCTACCTAGTATTTCGAAATACAATGTACAGAGTGACCGTTATTATTGGATAACGTATTTTCAGAATCTGTTTAATGTGTCAAAAAAAACTTGGAGTCAAAAGTTGTTTGGATTTATTTATACAGCGCGTTTATATGTTCGTGGGCAAGTTACAATTTTCCTATTATTTTTTTTATTTAATTTGATTTTTCGAATTTCTTAAAACTTTCTAAACATATTTCATATATAAAGTATATAGTGTTTTGCGCCTTCAAGCGCCAGTTTGACAAATATTTCAAAATAAGTTAAAAAAAAAGATAAGATAAACTCAGTACACACCATGTATAATGGACTTGATTATTTTTGTTAAATTTTATTTTCAAAAGCTTTTTTTTTTTAAATTTTGATATAATAAACAATACTTTTTAGCATTTGTTACTGTCAAATCGTGAAACTTTATGCAAAAATGTTTTTACGACGCATATGATAACTTGTGGGCGTAACACTAGAAACGAAAAAAACGATCATGTTTAAAGTGCTAAATAAAATCCAATGTATACTAATTTTATAATTTTTTGTGTTCTCTAAAACCAATTTCTATGCAATTCTCTTACATTTAAAGTTAAGTTAAGTTATATATTGAAATACAAAATTAATTAACTAAATTTAATTTTCTTTGTTATATTTTGCGATAGCTACAGTTGTTTGAACATTTTTTCCATTGGCACTTTTTATAAGCATATATTTGGAAGGCAAAATTTTCATCTTCAATTACTTGCTTCTTGAACATTTTCTCCACTCACATTATTTAGACTTTTAAGAGTAATAATCTTTAGCGTTTTCCTGTAAAATGAAAACAACGCTTGGCGCCGATTTACACGCACAAATTGGTAGTAGACGCGTTGCAATATTTACTTGAAAAAATACATACAAAAATATTTTTAACATTGGATGCACAGGGCTTTAGGTATGGTTTATTTTGTATAAAACATGTCTGACAAGTTCCGAGGAGTTCAAAGATATCTTAATATACAGGGTGTTTTGCTTATAATACATATAATAATATCATGGAAACAATTTTTGTCTTTAAGTTATTTTGATATTTGTTACAGATTGTTAGATAAGGGCCCATCCCATAATACAAGTCTGCTAGGACACAGCGGAATCGCTTGATACACAATAAATTAAAACTAGAACTCAAATCTAATTTCATACTTAAGGTACCGTCTCCTCAACAAAAAAGAAAAAAAAAAGATTTTTTGTTAATATTATTACATAAATAAGTAAACTGAAGTAACCTATTTATGGGCACAATTTTCTGGCTTTAGTAAATAGCAAATCTCAAAATTGCGAAAAAATTAACCAAAACTTAAAAAAAAGGTTTTATTTTATGTTTGAAAATAAAAAACATATAAACGTTGGATGAAAAAAAAAATGTTTTATTTATAAAACGATTTTTTTATATCCTGAAAAATATATTTTTGTAATTTGCTTCACCCTGTTCCTTTGATTGTTTTACCAACACTCTCTTAATTTTCCCTCCTCCCCTCTCTGCAGTTCAACTAGCGGAGGTGGTGAAATTCGGCGCGGCCAGTCTCGGGTCAGACAACCCCGAATCTCAGGTGATGCTAATCAACGCGGTCAGGGACGTAGCTAGCGCCCTCGGCGACCTTATCCACGCGACCAAAGCGGCCAGTGGCAAGCCGATCAATGACCCTGCCATGGCCCACCTAAAGGACAGCGCCAAGGTAACCTTTCACCCGGCCCCCTCGACTCTTTCTTAGATCTACCGTCGTCGCTTGTGTCGTCGCCGCCCCCAAACAGCCCGGCTTTCGCCGCCCTCTTAACCCATGCATGGAGTGCCCGCGCCTTATAACACGCACGCGCGTCGGGGTGGACTTTGAATAGTGAATTGTCAAAATCAAGAGATACTAGGCCATAGGGCGGAGTGTTTTACTTATTAAAGTCTCTCTGGAAAAGGTCACCTATTCAAGCAAGTCAGATAAAACCTGAAAAAGTCGAGGAATTAAAATTTTTCAAATTGCCAAGAACCACACTAGTAAACTGCAAAGGCCCAGCGGAACAAGAGGGCAATGTCCTCGCCCGCCCATATGGATTTAGTGTCTTTGATCGATGATGTGGGTACCTGATGGATATTATTCGAAAGTCCACCCATGCGGTGGGAAATAGTGTGTGTGTTTGTGGTGGGAGAGAGACGGAGCTGAACCACACACCTTTTGATTGAAAACAGGTTGCCGATTCGGACACCGATTGGTGGATATCGGACGCCGAAGACGAACTGCTGCGACTACTGAGCGACAGCAGGGAGAACGTCGGCTCGGAGTGTCTGACCGACGCGGAAACGATGCAGACGGATATCGCGCAGTGCATGGTCACCGCCTCTTGAACGTTTTTCCGGATTTTTTATTCTTTTTTTTTGTATATTTGGGGGCGGTATTGTGGAGGCCCGTTGCTGACCGATTTAATATTTAAAATGGAATCAAAATCTTCTCATTTAAAACGTTGTTTACCACAAATAAATTACGCAATGTCCGGCCTATTAGGATATCATTCGGTAACGCAAGTCGTGCCTCACGCTTATAACTAAAATGGCGGTCAACATTGATAGAATTGTCAACCACAGCCAACACACGTAGTTCCAATTAAACTACCGGCCAAGCTCGATACCGCGCTACACACTGTGTTTACGCAAGTTACAAAGCAAATCATCGTTTTCTTTTGACTTTTAACCCCATAGTTTAACCATATCGTATTAAGCAACGTTAAAAACCCTATTCACAGAAATTTGTTAAAATATATAAAGGACAGGCATAAATAATATTTAAAAACCCGACATTGCATACAGATACTGAAAGACATGTTATAACATTAAGACAATTATGAGCATGGAGCTGTAAAACTCTTCAAGTAAGTTGAAGGATTTTTTTTACTAAAGTCATCGCCCTCTTTTTAAATTGATTAATGATAATTTCCTGTTATTACTTGATTCCCAAACTTAGAGCTGAACGCGATTTTAAAAGAGTGTAGAAATAAAATCGGTTTTAGTATACGTCGAGTTCCCACATTGTCGCCCGGTGTTTTTTTTTTCAGTTGTAATTTATCGTGTCCCTTCTCTTTTCTTGCCAATGTTCGATGTAAACGTCGCTGCTAATTGTAGATTCTATGAGAAAAATAGATTTTCCCTCGATTTCAATAAAAAAAAACTGTCGTGTGCCTTAATTTTTCTTTCGAATGTTTCAAATGAAAACCCCGCCCTCCGACTTTCGAGCGTCATCCCTTTCGGTAGGTACCTGATTTTTGAGTTAGTTCTCTTGCGCCCGTCTCTTGCTCAGCCACTGTTTCTGGTATATTTTTTATTATTTTACTATTTATTTTTTACTAACCGACACGTCCCATTAAAATGAGCTTTAGTTGTCGTCTTAATAGTACTAAACAATGTCCCTCAAAAAAATAACATCGTCAGCAGTTGGGTCGAAACGACGCCATTTATGTGTGAGGTGTTCGATTTTCATTCGCCCTGATTTCGCCTCTCCCTCCCCACATTTTTTTTTTACTCTTTGGTCGTTTACTTTCGCCACTAACAGCCTCCGCCGGCCGGCTAAACGCATGTCCTACCCTAACCCCGCCCACCTCGATCTCCGTGTCTATTGACTACCAACTTTTCATTGCAGACCATGGTCACCAACGTGACGTCACTGCTGAAAACCGTCAAGGCCGTGGAAGACGAGCACACCCGCGGCACTCGCGCTCTCGAGTCGACCGTCGAGGCGATCGGCCAAGAGATGAGGGTCAGTGGCCTCTGGCCGCTGTAGTGTATATTATGACCTCGTAGCTTTGCAGGTCCTCTACTCGGGCGGCGACGGTTGCAAGCAGCATGTGACCGCCGAGGATCTGATCCGGTGCACCAAAGCGATCACTAACGCCACAGCCAAATCAGTGGCTGCAGGAATCAGTAACAAACAAGACGATATCATAGCGGCGGCAAATTTGTCGCGCAAGGCGGTATCGGACATGTTGGTGACGTGCAAGAGCGCCGCTTACAACTTAGCGGAGACTCGGGAACTGCGGGAGGAAACTCTCGCGGCGGGACACGAGTGCGCAAAAGACTTCAGGCAACTGCTGACGGTCATCTTGCAGGGCAACGGTTCCGCCGACGTGAAACAGACGCTACCGATGATATCGAGGAAGATCGCGCAATCTGTCACCGAGCTTGTCGCCATAGCCAAAAGGCTGAAAGGTTGGAAGGATGGAATATCTGTAAACTCTAATCTTTCGTTTTCTAAATCATGGAAAATACCATGTTCATGCCTTGGCAATTAGTTCATAATTCTATATATGTTACGTCAAACCGCCGTTTTTTGGTTTCTAGGTTCTGACTGGATCGACCCCGACGACCCAACAGTGATCGCTGAAAACGAACTGCTAGGGGCAGCAGCGTCCATAGACGCCGCCGCCAAGAAATTGGCAAGCCTCAGACCGAGGCAAAACGTTAAGGTTCGTTTATTTCACTTTTTTTTCGAGGTTTAAGGAAACGTCGGTATCCTAAGGTCGTCCAGAGGTCATCGAGTACCCATCCCTATGAGATATGTTTGATATTCTTGGTTGTAGTTCCGATAAACACCCAGGAGTCAAACATATTATTATAGCGGTGTCGTCAAGCGCCGTTAATTGTCCATTGTCCGTTTTTTTATATTTTTAATTTAAAGTTGGATTAAATAATGGATGGGTTTCAGACTCAGGACCTCGACGAGTCCATGAACTTCGACGAAATGATCTTGGAGGCGGCGAAATCGATAACGGCCGCGACGTCCGCCTTGATAAAGGCGGCGAGCGCCGCCCAGAGAGAGCTGATCGACAGCGGCAAGATGGCGCGCTACCCGATATCCTCGTCCGATGATGGACAGTGGTCGGAAGGACTGATATCTGCCGCAAGGTTGGTCGCCGCCGCGACCCACAGCCTGGTGGAGAGCGCCAATGCTTTGGTACAAGGTAAGGAACAACTTTGACAGGTTTTGTGAAGAATATTCCAAAATAAAAAACAATAGAAGAAAAAAAATCTATGGTAATTTACCAATTACCACAAGAATTACATTCGATAAAAATATTTTTGCTTTTGGTTCGAGACTGGTGGATTTACAAGTAGTTCAAACGTCCCCGTAACTTATGCTTGTTTTCGCACTGTCAGGATTGGGCAGCGAGGATAAATTGATTGCGGCCGCCAAGCAAGTGGCCAGTTCGACCGCCCACCTGTTGGTCGCGTGCAAAGTCAAAGCAGAGGGCGACACCGATGCCACACGCAGGCTCCACGCTGCCGGTAATGCGGTCATCCGGTCTACCGACAACCTCGTCCGGGCTGCTCAACAAGCCAAAATCGTGGAAGAAGAAAAGTAATTACCAACCTTTGATAATAAATTCCCCAACCGCCGATTCTTAAAATTTCGTGAATTCAGTGGCGACTTGTTACCAATGGGTTTCGTTTAGATATGAAAACGTCGCGTTCGCTTCTATTCACGGTTGGAAAAGTTATTTTTCTCTCGGCACTCGAGAACTTTTTTTTACGGTACGCGCGACATGATTCACCCTAGATATTTTCGCCGACAGGTATCTAGTGCTGAATCGGCGCATGGTCGGCGGTATCGCTCAGGAGATCAACGCGCGTTCAGAAGTTTGCCGTATTGAGCGCGAACTCGAGGAAGCCCGGAACAAATTAAACGCCATCAGGCAGGCGAAGTACAAGCTGAAAGGTTACGAAACGTCGGGCGACGAAACGGACGGTTACCTGAGCTCCGCCCCCGAGCAGGAGGCGTCCAGGTGAGTCGGTGTCGTCGAGCACGCCACAAGTCTTTTGTTTTGCGCCTCGAGCCTGTCCACTGTTATACTAACTGGTTATTATTCTGTGCACCGCTTTCCTTTGGGGGGGGGGCGATTTTGAAGATTATTGAATTCCTAGTGAGAAAGATGTTTACTTGTGTTGCTATTATATCTGGTTTTTTTTGGCACGTTTTGGAAGCAGTTTTGCACATTGGTTTCACTTCAATAGGGGGTCCTGTTATTGCGGGCGTTAAACCATAGGAGAGATCCGATGTGGTGTCGCCAAATGTTTACGCTTATTTGGCAAAACCGAACTAAAAAAATTTTTAGAAAAACGTACGAAAAATCAAAAATAGTTGTGTTAATCAAATTTTATCCTTATTCATATTTGTTAATTTAAAGAGGGATTTGATAAACTTGACAACCCGACTTCCTAACCTTCTTAACTGTACTTTCATAGCTTAAGCTTGAGTGTTTTATTTTCTCCCTCTCTCCATTTCTCTCCCTTGGTTTAACGTATTAGTTTGTGTAATTTATTTTCTTAACTAACACTTAATGTTTTTTTTTCTGTTGCATGCACAGATACAAGGTTGTTGTTAAAAATTGATGCATCTTAAGTAGCGATAGGTGAGTTTGCGCTGTTTACACTAACGATCGCACAATCCCAACTGACAATATTACGATGATTATAATAAAAATTGGTTACTAGATGACGTGAATATTATAATGATGAATTAACATTGAAACATGGCCTTTTTAGGACGTGATCGCGTCAGCTGGGATCGGAGTAATATTATTAGTATTTTTTTATTATTTACTTGCATTATTTTTTAACAAATTTTTAATGTCATAACCCCTATTTGAATAAACTAAAAACGACATTCAACGTGCTCCGCAGGTACCACAGCTTCGATCAGCGCCGTTCGCCTAAACACTACCACGATACTTACGGTCAACTGGAAAGCCCCGACAAAATCAATTCACTGGAACGCAACAAACACACGCCACTCCGAGGCGACGACAGGGACACTGCTCCTAGCCTTTATCATCAAAGCCCTGGATATGCCGACACTTATGTCGCCGCTCCCCCATACAAAAGCATATTTACAACACCCACCACTGGACACTATGCTTCGGTAAATCCCAATAAAAGTTACAGTACTACTGCAAACGCTGCTCCGAAACCATTTAGCGGCGGCGTAAGCTCCACAGATGGCTACTCCAGTTCGGAATACGTGACGAATACCTATAAAACGCCCGAAGGGCTACGTACCGATTCATACAAGTACGAGTACTACAAGTCTGAGCCAAAAACAACGTACAGTTCTTCTTCCGACAAGTATTACGTGTCCAGCGACGGAAAATTGCCCAGTCCACCATCTATCAAAACTTTTGACTCTTTTAATAATGGCGACGACGCGCTCTACAGGTCTTCGTTCGCTTCGAATGTCGAATACATAGACGGGCCGCCCGTACTTAAGGACGACGACACTCTCGAGCAGAGAACACTAAAGAAATCGATCACGGAACAAATCTTCGAAAAGAAAACGACTACGACGACTAAATCGTCCAAGCAGGAGTCATCGATGAAAACGTTCAAGTTTCCCTGAGCCCTGAATGCTAATCTTTCGAATTCTTCTTTTTGTTGTCGCGAGCGCAGCCACTTCGGCGATTTTTTACGGTGACCTAGGTGGTGCTAATCAGTTTTACTGCTTTTTGTCTTTAATTCTTTTTTTTCTCTCCATTAACCAAATGATAGACAGGGCGTCTCGCGCTAATTACCCTGTAAATATTTATATTTTATGTAATTATTTAGCTTAGTTTCCGTTAGTTTGTTATGTGCCAATAACGCGTCAACTGATAGCTTTGTGTTGTATGGACCCGCGCTACTTAACGACTTACTTAAAAGAAACGAAACGCAAGAAAAATGTCAAGTGCCTCCATGTTTTCAGAAAATTACACGCTGTGAAATTCCAGTGCCTCTACAGAGTTTTGATTGATTTTTTTTACAGGACAATGGGAAGGTTCGAGTCTACTAAATGTAACCCCGAACTGTATTCTCACACCTTTTGTGTCAAATAAAATTTTTTAACAATAATTTAGTTAGTTTTATTCTGCATCATGACAATAATGAATCAAAGTCAACATTTTTCAAAAGGGAAACGTTTATCCTGTTTCTGTAATCAAAATATCCAGATTACAAAATCTATTCAAATGTGTCTCATCTAAAAATTGATTCAAATTACTAGGATCAAGAGACCATTAATTACTAGGATCTAGAGACCAATAATTACTAGGATTTAGAGACCATTAATTACTAGGATCTAGAGATCATTAATTACTAGAAGCCATAAACCATTTATTACTTGGATTATGACACCATTAATTACTAGGATCATGAGACCATTAATTTTTAGGGTCGTGAGACCATGAATTACTAGGATTATAAGACCATTAATTACTAGGATCATGGGACCATTAATTACGAGGATCATGAGACCATTAGTTACTAGGATCATGAGACCTTTAATTACCAGGATCATGAGACCTTTAATAACTAGGATCATGAGACCATTAATTACTGGGATCGTGAGGCCATTAATTATTAGGATCATGAGAGCATTAATTACTAGGATCGTGAGAGTATTAATTACTAGGATCGTGAGGGTAATAATTACTAGGATCACGAGCCCATTGCCGATAACCGTGGATAAATGTGCCTTATTGGTTAGCAACTTCTTCTTCGAATTCAGTGCTAAACAGTTTTGGGTTGAGGAATTCTGTTGAAAACATTAACTAACACAGATGTGGATTTTATTACAACACTCCTAAACAATGATTCCTAAAAATTGCTGTCAAATATGTAAACTCCACATTTCTCAAAATATTTTAAAGCTTCTTGAGAAAACATTTAAAAGAGTTCAAATAAGTTGCTGTCGTAGTATTTAGATTTTACTTTTTTGATTATTCTGCCACACCATCTTTTGAGCCTTCAATGGACGAGTAATCTTAGCCAATTGTCCCAGATTATTTTTCCTTTTACTTCCTTCTCTTCGTTTTTCAATGATTCACTTAACTATGGGTCCTATTTTTTTGAGTCGGCCAGTGAAGTGGCAAAAGGTTAGGGGCTTGACATTTTAGTTTCAATTCCATTATTTAAAACATAATTTAATATTTCCAATCACCGGATATTGTTTTGTACTAGAAATCATTGTTTTGCATTTGAAAGTAGCGAGACGCGACTCGACTCGCAGCCTAAAATCTCGCGTTCCATAATCATCATTACATAACAAGGTTAAACTTTTCTTTCCTTCCTAGGACTATCGCAATGTTGGGTCGGTTCGGGAACGTGGCCACGCTGTTGGCCCACAATGGAGCCACACAGCAGCAACAGCAAAGAGGCATGGCCACTTTGAAAGCAATTTCCATCCGACTCAAATCAGTTAAAAATATACAAAAAATCACCCAGTCAATGAAGATGGTATCCGCGGCGAAATACTCGAGGGCCGAGCGCGAACTTAAGCAAGTAAGACCAATAGGAGATGGAGCTAAGCAGTTTTATGAAAAAGCTGAAGTGGCTCCAGTGGAGGATGTTCCTCAAAAGCTTGTTATAGCAATGACCTCAGACAGAGGTTAGTATAGGGTGTTGTTAAGCAGAGAAAATTGAATGTATAAGGGATTGTTGGCTTCAGGTCTGTGTGGTGCTGTGCACACCAGCGTTGCCCGTCACATTCGTACAGAACTGGCCAAGGATGACCAGAATCTGAAGGTGGTTTGTGTCGGAGATAAATCGAGGGCAATTCTGTCTAGGGTGTATGGCAAGAATATAATCTTGGCTTGTAACGAGATCGGGCGTTTGCCACCCACTTTCTTGGACGCCGCCAAACTAGCCGACGCAATCTTGAAATCTGACTACAAGTTTAGCTCGGGAGAGATAGTCTACAACCGATTCAAGTCCGTGGTGTCTTATTCGACACAGACTTTGCCCGTCTTCAGTTTGGCCTCTGTTACGGTAATTTTTTGTTTCCTATTTATATTTGGAATCAAATATTTAACTTGGCAAGGCAAACAGTTCATTTGTTTGTGGCCTACTATTCATTATTTTGTGATGTTTTTCTTTCAATTTCTATCTATGGGCGACAATAAATTCCTATAGGCTGCCCCGAAATTGTCGATTTACGATTCGCTGGACGACGAGGTGGTCCAGAGCTACTTGGAATTCTCACTGGCCTCCTTGTTGTTCTATGCCATGAAAGAAGGCGCTTGCAGCGAGCAGTCGTCGAGGATGACGGCGATGGACAACGCGAGCAAAAACGCTGGCGAAATGATCGACAAACTCACCCTGACATTTAATCGTACAAGACAGGCTGTCATCACCAGGGAGCTGATCGAAATTATTTCCGGTGCTTCGGCTCTGTAAACGCCGTATACAATGATGCTTGCGTCTCACCTCGCTACTTATCCCCATCCTCCAAATAAATAAATATCGGAAATAATGGTAAATATTGTGGTATAATTTGTAAGGTTATGGCGGTTTCGTATGTAAGAGTAAGTGAGGTTAGAAATAGTAAGCCCAAAGTCTCACAAACATACTCTATTTTAATTCTGGTTTACTGTTATATACATTCAGCTGTAACTCGTGGAATAAACGTCGCTAGACTTGCGCCTGTCTTTTTGTTAATCAGTCGAAAAGGGCGTGATTCATTGGTCTGCAATCCTCGCATTTAATCCCTGTGAAAAACAATTGATGTTCTGTAAGCTTATTCCTCTTTTGTTCTGTAATGAAGCCTTTGGATTTTTGAGGAGCATTGCAGGAAAAACGGTAAACAATACAATACATCGGCATCGCCTTTCCACTTTTCCGGAAAGTACCTTACTACTGGAAAAAAACGGTGGCCACGCAATTCGATGAGAGTTTATATAAGACGGGCACCCACGAAGCCTCTTAATTAATCGCGCAAATTACACTAAACTATGCAATTAACGAGGCGAAAGCTTTAGAAATTTAATGTTTGTCCGGCTCGGCGGCGTCACACTGGGATTTTTCATAAACCGCGGTTATATGCACGACGGGCGGCGTCTGCGGCGTTTCCATCATCGCGCAGTACTCGAGGCGACCATTTTCATTCAAACGGTAACACCTGTGCAAACCGAGCACCGTCTGCTTGGCAAACTTCATGATACCTATGCACGCCGTGCCAACGATCATCGTTTTATCCTCGACGTAACCCTCTTCCAACGTCGACAAACCGAAATTCTGCGCTGAAACGAGCGATAAACGCCACCCTATCGCGCATACGCGATCCACCTCCCTCTCTAATACCTGTAAGAAACGCCACCGTCTTCTCGTCGTCGTCGATCCTCAAATAACCGCACTCGAGATGCATTACGCTACCGTTTTTTGGGTTTCTCGTCACCGAAAAGTAGTTGAGCAGCGGTTGTCCCTCCGATCGAAACTCCAACGTTTCGGTATACTCGACAGGGCTCTTCATCGTCGGGTAATTCGCGACGGCCGACACAGATTTCCACTTGCCGACCAGCCATCGGAGGTTTTTCAAAATTTCGTGGGTTTTGACGTTGCCTGGCATACCATTGACAGCCCATCCAGTTGACACTCATATCCGTAACACAATACTACTCCCCTCACCTCCACGCTCTCTTTTCAATTCGATTTAATGTGTATAACGTTGTTCTTGTCTTGTTCACCTGGCAATTTTTAAAGATTGTTTAATTAATAGAAAACATACCGTACATACTTTTTTCTTCGTCTCATTGCTTCCGATTAAATTCTAAATTTTCTTGTTCTTATAATCCTTAACTCTGCCACTGTACTTCCATTCTTCCATTTATGATATTAGTTCCCACGGCTTAGAATTGTTGGAATAAATATCTATATCTTGGATTTTTTAATCTTTTTAGTTTTATTTCGCGATAGTATTACAAACCCGAGGGTTTTGTTTTCGGCCGAGGTATAGCACTTAGAGTTTTGCTTGTACGCGATAGTTAATTCCCACTCCATTGCTGCCATGACCTTTTTGAGTAGACAACAAATTTGGAGCGGACGGTATCCAATTTAACCCTTGGACATTTTCTCTCCTTAGCTCCTCTATCAGGTGTCCCTGATCCCGACCTCACTTGTATTCCCATGAATAGACTCAACAGGTGGCTGTTATTAACCAAAATGCATCAAACATTTTGGAAAAGATGGCGTAGGGAATATCTTCATCTCTAGTTATGTTGAAAGAGGATAATCTACCGCCTCTTCAGTGAAGGCTAGGACGGATTGATTCTGTTCATCCTGATGCTGACGGGATTACACGTGCGGTAACAGTCAAAACCAGAAATGGTTTAATTAAACGACCGGTTGTTAAGATATGCCCTCTATCGGATAATTAATTGTAATTGATAATGTCTAATATTAGAATATTTAGTTTTTGTTTTTCAAAAATTGGTGGGTGGTATGATCAGGTTTTGGATAGTGTTTGATTTTTTGATCTTTTTAGTTTTTGTCATTTATTTCCACCAATATCTTTCATTAAGTAAATTTTTTCTAATAATTTGTTATACCAAATGCGTGTTATTCCGCGATAGTATTACGAACTCTCGGGTTTTGTTTTAGGCTGAAGTATCGCACTTACAGTTTCGCGTGTGTCCGATTTTCAATCCCCACTGCTTTTGAGTCTACAAAATCCGAGCGGACTGTTATTCCACCAGCGGCTTCAAAAACGGGAAGTCCAGGAAACATCGAGTTTCTCACAAAAATATTAACGGGTTTTGTGAATGAATAGCGGACTCTTATCTTTTATTTAGTGTGAGAACTAACGTAGTTTAAGCCCTTGTGCTGTGCGTACGGCAACCTATTTTGTTTATCGTGGTTGATGTCATGTAGGAAAGCCAACGTCGTAGTATACCTTCACCGCGGGTTCAACCCTCCATAAAATATTATTAGATTGCAACGTTAGCGGTTAGAGATTCAGATTTGGGTTAGGGATAAAGAAACTCTACACCAACAAAATTCCAAAATATTTTACTTTTACAAAAATTTACATTTTTATCGTTCGCAAGGTGATTTGCGTTTCAGAAATAACGCAACATAAATGCACGAATATAAATAAATTACTGACGAGTTTGAATAAGGACCCGATAACGTCACCAAGGTTATACCTCCGGTCGCACTAGTCGATAAAGCTCCGGTATAACAATGGAAAGGCCTTTTGTCGTCCATATATAAATATATATTATATATATATATATATATATATATATATATATATATATATATATATATATATATATATATATATATATATATATATATATATATATATATATATATATATATATATATATATATATATATATATATATATATATATATATATATATATATATAAATAAATCATTACAAAATAACAACAACGTTTAAATACTATATACATTTTGTTTTAATTGTTAATTGTTAGCTATGAAATTTCCCAATAATTTTCAGTTTCAGGGAAAAAAATCAAAACATTTTAAAATACTAAGAATTTCGCAATCACCTTAATAAAAAGTGATTAAACGAGGATGAGAATCTTCTCAGGACAAATATCCATTTGTCGTGTTTTTGTATTTTTTTTTCGATGAGAGTTGAATTACAAAAATCGTGACGTCATTGAATAAAGCGAAACAAAAAATGGCAAGTTTAAAATGTTATCCATTGGCAAAACCGCTTTCCAATAAAGAGGCAAAAAAAAATTTTTTTCTCGTCAATCTCCTATTTATAAATTTCTTTTTAAACCGTATATATCTCTATATTTGTTGTATAAAAATGCTTTAATATCCCAGGAACTTCCAGGCGAGTGAGGAAACGACTTTGGCCAGTCATTGCTGATGAGGCGACAACGTTGGCGGCCTTCATCGAGCATTCTGGAACCCCTTTGGGTTTCGCTGTTGCCAATTCCACGTGTCTCTGCACATGTCTAGCACGCCTCTGCTTGCCACCCAGTTCAGCTCCCGTCTGGCCAGGGACGCGTCCGCGTAACACTCTGCTATGTCCCCCTCCCTGCGTCCCACGATCTCGTACCTGATCTGACGACCCGAAGCCTCCGAGAAAGCCTTCACCATATCCAAAACCGACAAACCTTGACCGGTACCGAGGTTATAAGCTTTCCAAGACTTGAATGCTGGCTGCAGCATTTTTTCCAATGCCTTTAGGTGACCTATAGCCAGGTCCGTGATGTGGATGTAGTCCCTAACGCCGGTACCATCGTGGGTATGGTAGTCTCCACCGAATACTGACAGTTTTTCGCGACGACCTACCGCTACCTACGAAAAAATAGGATAACCTATATTAATAACTACAGATATAACAGCCACGGGAAATACTTTCAAAATTTACTCAATATAATAAATAGTTTTTGATAGAGTTTAGGGTGTAAGCCAAAGTTGCCAGCCCTCAAATTTTTATTGTACAACTTACTTTCAGAAATTTTATGTTAAACCCAAATTTACCCTTAGAAGTAGGGTTGGATTGGATTTACTGCTAATGCCCACGACTTCATTAGGTCATTCTGCCAGCTTACCCCAAATGTGAACATAATTCAAAAATCCTAAAGAATGCCTTCCTAAGAGAAGGGTCTGAAGCAATCCATCATCCTCTAGGTTGATTAACATATACAAAATGGTTTCAACAAAAAAACGGTACTTTGACCGATAGCAAAAAACCGCCTCACCCACAGAACAACGTGGAATGGGGGGGGGGGGGGGGTATCCTGCGTCTGTACCGGCGATAACAGGAAAAAACAGCGGGGCCGACAACGATTACAATTTTAAAACACTCAGAAAAAAAACGAGTTTGGAACCATACTACAAATGTGAGGACAATTACAATGGATTCTGTTGCGAATGAACCGAGGTTTAGCAGCCATGCCACCAAAAATAGGGTTAAGTTCTACCTTATCCATTCGGTATTTCTTCCAGAATAATTCGCAATACACATACAAAAGGCTAAATCTAGTGGGCGCTTAATTAAAGTGTGCCCAAAAAATAATCTCACCTGCGCTATGTAAGGCATTAAATTGTTTGGTATGCCTGAGGGATCTTCGCCGATCAATCCCGATTCGTGCGCTCCCACCGGATTGAAATACCGCAACAGGATCACTTTCCATTCCTGAAACATTGGACGCTGTGAGATTACAACAGCACACGGGATTTTTTTCAGGGGAAGTACCGAATCTGAGGCGCAGACATCTTTCAAAATCTCCTCGACAAAATACTTGGTCTTTCCGTATGGATTCGTGCAACCCTGTCCGGTCGGGTGCTCCTCAGTGATAGGTAAAAATTGGGGCGCGCCGTAAACCGTTGCCGAAGACGAAAAGACCAACTTTTTCACGCCATTATTCGCCATAACCTCGAACAACGTGCTCGAACCGAAAATGTTATTCTGGTAGTATGTCAGCGGGATTTTTACGGATTCGCCCACAGCTTTCAGTGCCGCAAAGTGAATAACCGAATCGATTTTATGCTAAAATGTTAAACAAAACTCTCATTTCATACACAAAATTTACGATAACATTTTTCTTATCTGTGGGCTCATTTAAATTTGGCAGATTCCAAAACCACTTACCGCCTTAAACACCTTATCCAAAGCGTCCTTGTCCCTTATGTCCACATTGTAAAAAGTCACCTTCTCCCCGGTTATCTGTTCAACCCGCTTGAGCGACTCGGGCTTTTCCCCATCCCTCTCAGCGTAGCAATTGACCAAATTATCCACCGCGATTACCGTATAGTTATTTTTAAGAAGCTCGACCACCGTGTGTGATCCTACATAGCCCGCGCCACCGGTCACCAAAATAGTGCTGTTACCTTTCATTTTTTCATCGGGATCGTTGATCACCCACCACCTGAAGGGATAAACGGGAATACTTAAGGAGGGCCGTTAGAAACAAAAAACGGACGATACTTACGCATAATTCGCTCACGAAATGCGATACACGTCTACCAGTTTAATCTTTTATTACGAGTGGTTTTGCGATAAGCATCGATAATTTTTTCGATTTCAAGTGCCGATTGGCGTAAGTACCGCCGATTTTAATTCGAAATACAATTAAATTATCTCGAACAATTAAAGAATAAAAAAAACGCTTCAAGAATTGTTTAAACAAAATTGTCTCTTTTAAAATCAAGTCAACAATTAAGATTGTGCGCCAAGCAGTTAGATTAGTTTTTGAACTCGTTAAAACGCCTGCAACTACCTTAAATACTTCGAGAACTCGAAGGGGTTAAAAAAACGTCCATTATCACACCACCTTAATGTATACACGCACTTACCAACACTTACTTGGTTATATATCCGAGGGGTACTATCGCATAGTAAAACACCACGAACGCGTATGTAGATTTATACAACAACGATAACATCGTTATCAATTGTTTAATTCAAATATTTAGTGGTAAACAAAACGGACGAAAAAAAAACTGCACACGTCAAGACTTTGCGCTCATGTTCGAGATGTGGCACCCCCGCTTCGTCCTGTTTGCCGCGGACATTAAATTTTGTCGGTCGGGTTTCGCCCCCCCGATCGTCGCGGCAATTAAGGACACGCACCGTACACCTAAAATGACGAAATGACCTACAAAGGTGCATATAAGCGTCAACCGATCTGCAACATTAGTATAAACATGGGTTACATGTGGCACCGTCGCTGCGAAAAATGTCAGACGGCACGATGAACGTTTCATTTACGAATGGATCAGAGACTCCCGCGATTCGAAGCGAATGTAGGCCCCTCATGATTCAGACGAAGGGAGACAATTACCGCGAAAATTGATAATGCAAAAAAGTTATTCTCATCCTTTTCTGAAACGAAGAACTGAATAATTCGGAAGTGAGATAGTTGACGGATCTGCGTCATTAGGATTTGCCCCGGGCGGGTGAAGATGAGTTTCGACGCGAAGGTCGTTCGTATAATACTGACATAAAATTAAAAATAGTTTATGACTTTACCATTAATTTATTTTCGGGGGAATCGATGGAAAATGTGAATTCAGCGTCTAACGGCTGATAGCAGGTTGATTTGTAAAACTAACCCGTTGTCTTGCATTACAATGCTAAATCAAGTAATGAATTGTGTAATAATTATTATTGCGTCAGGGGCCTCGAAAGCAAGTTCAAGAACCGTCCTTTCATTTTGTGCTGGACTTTCAATAAACCCGAGGTGCGTGGATTACACATTTTGACGAATCTCAAGTATTGAGCTCAATCAAACGGTGTGACCAATCTCGAGATGAGCGAGGTCTAAATCTCTTACGTCATATGTTAACAAGTCAACAATTTTTGTTCCACAGTGTACGATCACGATTTTGACATTGACAGTTGACATTGAAGCGCTTTTGTAGTTTGGCACAGCGTTTGGGAGGAAAATACTTGTTTTCGCTTGCGGAAATGTAAATCAAACTTTGTTACCAACGTTTATTACATCTAAAGAGAAAACTATAGCGCTAAACGGTAATATCGACGCACCTTGTTAAAATTTTGCATTTCAAATATGCCTCGAAAAGGTCGAGTAAAAAAAGAAGGCCCTGAATCTGGGGAGGATTCTGACGAGTACCGCAAAAGAAGAGACAGGAACAATCTGGCAAGCCTTGGATGCAATCTTAGGAAACACGTAAACTAAAGTCTGAAAATTCTAGGCTGTTAAACGGAGCAGAGTGAAATCAAAGCAAAAAACCCAAGAAACGGTAAACCGTGTGACTGAGCTCAGGAATGAGAACTCAGTGTTAGAGGAAAAAGTTAAAACCCTTACCAAAGAATTGAGTTTCCTGAAGGAGCTGTTTTTGGCCCACGCTTCGAACAATATCGATCCAAGTAAGTTTGAAGGAGTAAACTTGCAGAAGTTGTTAGCGGAGGACCCTGCACCTAGTTCTAGCGGTCAGCAGCAGCATTAATAATGTTCAAAGGTGAAGGTAAACGCTTAATCTTGTAGAGCAAATAATGTGAACGACAATTTATTATTGTTGTCCCATTATTTGTTCCGACCTCAGCGCTTCAAAACCATCTATTGATAATTGGATTTTTTGTTTCACTGAGGTTTGTTTTGAGTCAAAAATGGAAATTTATGTCAACTTTTAGACTCGCTGTTATTCTGTGAAAGGAATGACTTTGTGTAAATAAATCCTGAAATTTGTATATAGTGAAGGCCATCACATTTGTTGTGTTGTGTAAAACGGGCCCTTAACCCATTATTTGTACAAAATGTTTGTTATTTTTCAATAAAAACTATAAGGCAGTTTTTTTTCAAGTCAATAAAAAAACCTTGGGAACAAAATAAAACTAATTTCAATGTGCAAAAACTTAATTTCAATCCTTAATATAGAAGAAAATGACACCTAATGGGCAACCTCATCCCGTAAATTGTTTTTAATGTACTGCAAAATTTGGTTTAGGTATTCTCTCCTATCGAAACCATCCACTGTGTTCAATTCCAAAGCGATTTTTCCTCCAATCACAGACACCCCGAACAAAAACTTGTAAAATACCGCTGCTTCATGGTTATCGCCGTTAATTTTCAGTTTCTTCGTAAAAGTCCCATCGCAAAGGTCATCTAAAACCCGTTTTCCTGGAGACTTAACTTCAGTCTGAATTGGTTCCTCTTGGATACTGTTCGTGTCATTGCCCTCCAATGATTTTCGCATTTTCTCCCTTTTTTTCCTTCTCTGATGAGACCAAGTATTAAAAAGAGCAGTCACAAAGAACCTTTGATGGCTTTTGTTTCGAGTGACTTCCTCAAAAGTCATCCTCAGTGTCTTAAATATGTTTAAAATTCTTACTGTGACTTTGTTCACACTTTCTATGCCTGTGTCTGCGACAGGCAAAAAGTAGAACATGGGGTGATGCTTTTTGACGGGTCTTCCAACTAATTTTACCACATCCGTAGCTTTACGAAGGTCAAAATTGCAAAATGTCCATGCCAGACCCCACCTTGTTGTGTTCCCTTGACAAAACTCGGTCTCTTTGAAGCTACGCACCTCGAGTTCTCTCAGAAATGCTTTTAGATGGGGCAAGCTCGACTTGTGGCCTACCATGCTACTGCACAGCTTAAGTTGATCTCCAAGCTCTTTGCTTTCTTTTATAATGTGTTTAATAAACTCTACTTCGCCCCCTTTGGACACGACTTCGTTAGCAGTCGCGACAAAGGCGTTTTTTGGTCTGGGCCGATCAATTTTTCGACTTTTAAAGAATGGATGTACTTCATGGAAACTGGAAAAGAATGGCGGGTTGCACATGCAAAAGTCGTACGGGTCATTTCCGACTGCGCCCTTTAAAAACGTGTCAGGTTGAACGCGAACTATAGTAATCAACGAGCTCAACTTATTAGATTCCACGTTTTTTTTGGCGAAAGAGACACTTTTTTCATCTATTTCTGTACCAACCATGGACCAGTTATTCTTCTTAGCTGCTATCAGGGGATAAACGCAAGACGCCCCCGTGCCTATGTCAATACCCTTTATGTTTTCTCCGAGTTGCATAAAGTCTAGCAAGTCTTCCATCCATAAAATGTAATTCAACCGTAGGGGAATAGTAGGCACGAGTTTTTCTCTTGGGATTTGTACGTCTAAGCCGAAATCTTTCTTCAGTAGAGTGCGGGACAAAACCCTAAGAGAGTCCGGGTCTTTGAAATCGAACGAGACCTTACCGCAAATGTCCAGTTTTACATATTTTCTAAATTCTGGATAACCTAGGGCCAACTGTTGAAAGTCTGGTGGTTTTTTGTAAATATTTCGTGGGTGCATGTACTTGTTCATTGACATGTTCGGAGTAATATTGCTAACACGCTCCCGAAAACGCACCAAGAAAAATATTTTTAAAAATTAAATAAAAAGTTAGGTTAGCGCTATCTGAGGTAATTATTTTGTTCTGTGCACAGCCTTAATTGTAAGTAGTTGTAGGTATGGTATTTTTTGACGATCATAATTTTTGCAATGCCGAAAGCTTGTCATAAATATTTGTAGATAAACATGCATGCCCGATGATAAAATCTGCAATATTATGATGATGTTTGTTATGCAACGAAGGTAAATTTGAAGTTCACCAGCCGTAAATATTAGCAAACGCATCCAGCTGCGTTGTTTGTTCGTAAATACCAAAAAAAGCGGGGAGAGGCAAGAGGTCGACGCAGCAAAAGAAGAACTCGTTTTGTGAATAAACATTTTAACTGTGTCTTTTAGATTGGGGAGCCTAATTAAAGTAAAAATTGATTTTCTCTTTAAAAAAAACTTACTAAAAACAAGCCAAATATTGTGTTGGTCCCGTTCAAGGATTATTTTAAGGAGCAATTAGGTTCGATTTGTTTTTATGTACGTTATAAATTAGATGCGCTTATCGAGCCGTGAAATTAAATATTTGAGTCTTAATATCTCAATCGGCAGTCGAGCGAGTTTCAGAAACCAATTAACGTCGCGATGGCCCAACAGACCCCTTTGGTTCTTCGCTTGCTCGCGTCTTCCACCACGCTCGCGGGGAAAGCTGGAAAAATTATCAAAGACGTCATGAAAGGCGGCGATTTAGGCATTATCGAAAAAGTAAGCAGCAACTAGCCAGTGCCTCAATAAGAAAAAACAGGGAATTATTTCAGGGCAGCGGCAAGAACGATCTTCAGACAGAGGCGGACCGTTCCGCTCAAAGGTGCATAGTGGCATCTTTGGTGAAGTTGTTCCCCGATGTTACCATTATCGGAGAGGAAGGACCAGTCCACGAAACCGACGAGGTTTGTTTCAACCCAGAATTTTATACCTCTAATTGTTAGGTACGGATATGTCTAAAGGCCCGCCATTATCCAGGTGCCTAGTGACTGGATTGTTACAGATCTGGATGCAGGAGTGCTGGCCAGTGATTGTCCCGACGAATATGTAGAAACAGACCCGAAAGACATCGTCGTGTGGGTTGATCCATTGGATGGAACTTCAGAATATGCTCAAGTAACAAACATCCCCTCTTAATCCTCTGTCAGTTTAAATAAACATTTGGGTGTTTTAGGGATTGCTAGATCACGTCACAGTTCTCATAGGGTTGGCGATAAAGGGCAAGCCTGTAGGTGGTGTTATCCACCAGCCTTACCATAACTACAAGGTCGAACCAGACAGCAAAGGCCGGACGCTGTGGGGGTTGGTCGGGTTGGGAGTGGGAGGTTTCATACCAAAGACTCCACCCACCAACAAGTTCATCATAACCACCACCAGAATGCATGCTGACGAGCTCGTCGATAGAGCGCTTGAGGCATTGAAGCCTGACGAAATTATACGAGTCGGCGGAGCAGGCCACAAAGTATGTTTATATTTTACCAGCTTGTTGCTTATATATCAAGTTTAGTCCCAGAACTCTGACTTATAATTTTTAAACGTGGTTTCAGTGTATGTATTAAATCACTATCAATATCAATTCAAGCCCCTGCCTTAGTTTGAGCTTACAAAGGATTTTGGTCCAATCACAGATTGTTACCTAGCAACAAATGGAATACCCTTACTAGAATATTGCGTTTTTATTACAGGTTTTAACCTTGCTGGAGGGCAAAGCTCACGCATACGTCTTCGCGAGCAAGGGTTGCAAAAAGTGGGACACGTGCGCCCCTGAAGGGCTGCTGCGAGCTTTGGGGGGTAAGCTCACCGATATCCACGGTCGGGAGTATGATTATTCGGCGGACGTGGAGTACCCAAATGCTCAAGGAGTGTTCGCGACTTCTAGGCACGTCGACCATGACGCGTTGATCAATCGCATCCCCAAGGAGCTGAAGGATAAATTTCCTCGTTGATTTTTCGACGCTCATATTTTATTTTAGGTCGTTACTAGCCAATGGGCATTTCTTGTAACTGAAAATATTTCCATAATAAAAATGATTTCAACTGCCTGTGGGTTTCATTTGCAATTCCAAGAAAAGAAGTATTTCCATTGTGCCCTATTTTAGAAGTACGTCACAAACGCATGTTAAAAGCGCAATATAATTTGCACTCATTTGAACTACCAACTATTTGTCATTGTTATTCTCATTTTAAAGTATGTTTTTATTTAACCTATCTGTGATTTGGATATATCATCTTGCCTAAATTCGAGTGCGTGAAGAATGCGATTGTCTGTGTGCGTGTATTTTTGGACAGGGGGGGGGCGACAGCTGGTTTTAGTGATCAATTGTATAAGGGTGTTTCTTTCGCTTTCTCAGCCAATCCGTCTTCCATTTCGTTACTCTCAATACCCACATGAGCTGGTATCCAGACCTGATTGAAAGAATCAAGTTGCAAAATCTTCACACAAGTATGAATCTGGACAAAATTTTAATTTTTTTTTTTCGACGCTGAATCGAACTGTACTGACGGCGACCTCGTAAGACCAACCGTTACTGAGATCTCGAGTTTAGTGATGAGCGCAGATACTTTCGTAAAACACGATTTCATTGGTTTCTCGAAAGTAACTAGAGAAGGAACTGGTATATATGGCAGCTAGTAGATAAATAACACCGTTTTAACGAGCAGAAACCGCACATAACCTCAATCTCCTAACCCCCTCGCAGAGGGCCCCCGGCGCGTTGCGCTCCGCCACCGTTCTAGAGTCCCCCTAGCTACCAGAGTGTGCTCCGCCCCTCAGAACCCCCCCTTGTGTAACGCCCTGTTTGCCACGGTGCATGTCCGAGAAAACTATATACAATAACAAATATTTATCGAGGAGGGTCTTCTTCTTCTTCTTTTGATGACGTTCTTGTTCCCGTTCCTTCAAGAAATCAATATAGGAAATACACTCCTCACCGTCCCCCTCTGTCGACCACCCACCCTGCTGGATGCGCCAACATAATGTGCGACTTGTCAATTTTTTCTAGATCAAACAAAAGTTACACACACATACCAACATACACATTTCTACGTCTTGTCATTTAAAAGACATTAAAAACACTATATACTTCAATTTAATTCGATTATTTCTGCAAAGTAAAAATGCGTATTATTGTCAAACGGACAAACCGTGTTTTTTCTAGAACAAACAAGAAACAAAATATGTATATGTCGCGTTGCCTATAAAACACATATTTTTAAACAAAACTTTCAGTAAGTGACGTAAGTAAAGTCACATTTCTATTCCCTGTCATTTAAAGATATTAAAAACACTATATACTTCAATTTAATTCGATTATTATGCAACGTAAAAAAGTGGATTATTATAATATAAAAACAGGTAGGAACTGACCAAAAAAAGTGATCATTGTTTTTTGTTATTCACACTGAGAAAATTAACGAAAACTGAAACCCACAAAAACAAAACAAAAAAAGACTCGCACTGTATTAGGGTAAATTAAAATCATAAAACTTATCAGTTGTAGAGTCATAGGGAAATATATATCGCACTTGACATTGCACTGAATACAATACACATTAAATGTATTTATTCACATGTTCTCCCTTCCATGGTTAAATTTAAAATCAAAAGTTAAAAAAGGCACAAACAAACGCCTATTTGAATAAACACGATGAACGTATGTTGTCACCAGAGAGCCATGCAGGTGGGAGTCTCAAGGTCCACGTGCTTAAAGCGTGTCGACTTTCACATGACGTAATTTGGCAAAAAAAATTAACACCCAACAAAATTATTGATAGCACACGCAAATATAATTTGCGCCTTACAATCAAAAGCTATCCATCCGCCCACTAGGATATTGCCGCACCGTAGTCTCTTACATGCGGTTGCGAGGTATTGACATTGCAAAATTAGTTCCAGATAAGGTGGAATATATTAAAAAATTGTATCTAATAGCACATTCAATCTTTAAACAAATCCCTTTTAGATTGATAAACACTTTTCAAGATAGGCATGTAAATCGGTGAATGAGTCATCGGATCGCAGTTAATGGTAGACACGTACACAAGGCTATAAGTAAATAGAATTAAATATGACCCAGTGGCAGATTATTTACCAGTTAGTTTACAAAATTAAAAAGAAAAGCAACAGGAATTAGGTTAAAACAAACTATTTATTAACACATTAAACATCCTTTATTGGCAGTGGAAAAAGATAATAAAAGTAATTCTATTGCAGGTAATAAGCGAAAAATATTAAGGGCTTCCGGTCATTTTTTTTAAATATGCCCAAAATATAATGAAAAAATTAAACTATTTCATGCATTTTTTAAATAAAAACTTAACGAGGCTGCCAGACGTGAACTGAGCCCTTAAGCGCACCTCATTCGATTTTTAGGAAAAAAACGAAATAATCAAAGCAAAACCGATAAAAAACATTTATAATCAAGCGGAGACAGTTTCTTCTTCCATAATCGAATAGTGACCCCACGGTAACGTTTGTACTGACGACTTTGATATGCGACTTTTCTCTTTTGAGAGTACTAAGGCCACGGCAACAGGAATATCGAGGTTGCCGATCAAATAGACTGAGAAGGTAGAACAAGGAGAGGGGAGCCCGACCTATTGGATCAAAAAAGAAAGACTATTAAGGCTCAAGTTTATTCTATTATCCGCCCCTCCCTGTCACCACGACACCACGTCCCGGCGACGCGCCACCTGGGGGTATCTAACGGGGCGGTAATGTGTGTGTAACGTGAAAAGTCGCCCGCCCACTGTGTCGACCACAGATTTATTTGGATTGTATTTTAAATCAGCGTCGTCTATGACGTATTTCGTCGTCACGTACGTATTTTTATTTCAACGGCGCCTGTGATGGAGTACGTTGTCATGTAAGTGTTTTAAATGGGCGTCGTCCGTGACGTACTTACATTACGTACGTACGCAAGCGGGCGATTGTAAAGTTTGAGGTTATGTACGGTGGAACTCTTAATTAGTAAATATAGATCTCTTTTGGTTACACATCATCATTTTCATGAAATAAAAATGTGGAGACCATCGAACGCAGTCAGTGGATCCATTGGACTCATCCGTTTACATTTTATGTTATGCCTAACAATCATCATTCTTCCTTGCTGTGTTGTTTTCTTATCTACATGCTAATACGGTGGCTCCAGTGACTCCATATTGGGAAACATCTATTAGTAGTATATTCATTATATTTCTTGAACGGGTTGACATATTAATTACTAAATATATGAATGTTTTCTTTTTGTATGAACAGGAATTGCTTGCAAGTTATTTGCTCATTTACAGTTGAGTGCGTGGCTCTTGCAATCTACAAGATATGGTCAACGAAAAGTCCTGTCAACAAAAATTGAATATAAACTGCCACGCGAATCAGCTTTCGATATATTTTTGGTATTTTTGTTGGTTCAGTGGTCTTGACGAATTGATGCGAATTATATATTTAACTGCTTATATTCAAATGAAATCCTTTTTTTTTTTCGAAGGAAAGACAGGCGTGTTTACTTGTACGTCAGACGGCAGTCACTGTGGTTTCTGTCTCTTGGTAAATTAATATTCTAATAAAATAGTAATGCTATCCAACACTTAACAACTTTCTTGGACTAATTACGAAAAATCAACGACCCACCCGAGGAATTGCCAAATATCGATACAGTGAAATGTCTTTTGAAATACGGTAAAAATGTCACCTGCAATTTAAAAAACATTTATACTATATACTGATTGGCAATGCAGCTTGGGTAAGAATTTTTTCGACTAAGTAGCTGCCCATTCCATACAAGCCCACATTCATTCCGCTCTTAATTTGTTAACTAAGAAACCGACTGTTTTTGGAAATGAATAACCGAATTTATTTCAAAAACTGTAAACATTTTCGTTCTTATGCTGTATATCATATTCATGTTTGTTTTTTCTTTTGCTGTTCTTGGATCAATTTCTCATTGCCGCCATGTCGATATCATCCAGAATGCAAGGCGCACCTCAATCTCGTTACGGCCAACGCGGTGTGTTAAGGCGAGCACATGCGTCCCCACCATGAAGAAATTTGCCGTGCGCGGACAGGCATAGGCGTGTTATCAGAGTCTTCGTATTGCCACTGTTGTTATTGGACGTGTGTATCAAGTCGCAAGTAATTTCAATCTCCGTTTTTTCTACTGTAAGTCTGGTGTGTGTCATTATAGTAAGTGGTAAGTACCTACTGTTTCATTATGGTTTCATATTTTCACAACGATAAAATAAAAAGTACCACAGGTTTGAATACTGATTTCACATTAAATAAAGCATCACCATTCTGACCCAGTCACTAAATTTAGAATACAATATTTCGTTGGAATTATGAACGTTCAATTATATTCTACAAATTTTAATTTGACCTTTTGATCTTAAGTTTTGACTTATTTTAAGTATTAAGGGTTCTGATGTAAAAAAACAAGATTGATTTACCATTTTTATGAGTTTAGCAATAATGATCTACAAAAATTATTGTGGTTTCTTTATAGGATGCTGCTATATTAACGTTTGATGTCAACGAAACATTTACTTTTGCTGTGTCTGCCAAAGTTAAATTTTGTGATGCTTTAAATAAACGATTTGGCGTAAATTGTATGCACGTGTCGTTGGACGGATTTATTTTAAAGAATCCGTTTTTAGCTCCGTGTTACTACTCAACAGTTCACAAAAATCTTCTATCAAAGGCCCGGACCACACAATAGCGTTCAGTGCTACGTTCGTCCAAAGTTTACCTTACAGGACACTCAAATTGGGATTTTCAGTTGTGCTCTAGCTTTTAGAGTTTTAGTACGTGTGCGGCACAGTCAAAAAACTGTCTGTGGTCGAAGCGCTTGTTGGAGCCATTAGAGCTTTGTTGGCTCTTTTACTGGCTACTCCTAAAAATGATGGTGTCGCTCAGGGTATGAAAGAATGTACTCAAGCGATAAGAAGAATCGAAAAGGAAATGCGGGCTACGAAAACGGTGGGAGAAAAACAACGTCTGGTAGCTCAAATGGCCCAAGTTAAATCGTTTCGGAGTCAATTTAAAA